GTAGGATCATACTTGTCAAGTTGAGGAAGCTCAGGCACGTACTTGATGGGTTCTTCAGGTTGCATTTCGGCTTGAGCTCTAAGGCCTGGAGGTGGGGGTGGCCTAATTTCAGTACCTCCTGGGCTCATTGGGTATTTCAACCCACTGCTGACACCTACGACCTTTCGAGCAGGGCTACTTCTACCTCTGTCCTGACCGGGCTGCTTTCTTAAGAATTCGGGAATGGGTGGAGGCTCACCGGGACGCAAGGCATCTTGATACAGCTGAACATAGTTCTCATACCCAAAGTTACCCATGTCAAGAGGTCCTGACAAGCTTGCAGCAGCTCCTCCAGATTGACGAGCTCTTTGAGGGCTATCACTACGAGTCCTAGGCTCTCGTCCTCGCTTTGGGGATTTATCGGGGGTGACGGGTACGAAGGGTGACCTAGCCCTTGGGTTCAAGACCTCAGCTACGGACACGGCCCTTGCCGGTCGTGTTGGGGCCTGTTTCTCAAGTTTCAATCCTTCGGGCGTGACTCGCCAGGCGTACTTTGACCCTTCCACTTCCACCACACCCGCACTTGGAGCCTGGGCCTGGGCCTCAGTTGGTGGTCCCATTTGACCCCCTCTCCCGCCCGACCCCGTCCCAGTTTCCCCAAGGTTAGCCGGCTTGCCTGTCACAGCTGGTGTGCCAACGAACTGAGGAGGAAACACAGCCTTCGGACGTGGCTCAGGGACACTAGAGCTTGCACCTGCAGACGATGACGATGCTTTGGAGCTCTCCAGCTTATCCATTCGCTCCACCAAAGACTGCTGGCCTTGCATCAGTACCCGTAGCATTGACGCCAGATCGCCAAAGGGATCTGTAGCCACTGGCTGTACTGGAACCAGCTCGCGGTCATCTTCCGCTTTGATAGCCCCACGTTCCATGGCCGAAAACTCGCTGTAACCTGTAACGCTAAAATGTCCAGGTGATGCTTCTCTGGCAACCTGTGCCTCCGGTTCCTGTGGCTGTGTCGCCAGCGCAACAGGGTCAATACGAAGTACTTCTGCATGACACGGAGCTAGTTCATGAGGCACATCATCCCTGGCTGTGCTTGCTGCGGCCTCAGGAGTTTCCTGGGCTTGAGGTCCAAGCTCATATGGCGGTTCACGTTCTGACTCATCGCCTTCCCTAATGGCTGCACCTCGTTCCCCAGGGTCGTCCTGCACGACCTGTTGTGCACGGCGAAATTCCTGCTGTACTGCATCTGACCAGAAAGGGTTCGGGAAGTTTGCCATGGCAAGGTCTACTGTCTACAGGGCCCTTTTACTTAGCGTTGGGCTCATAACCCTCGCGTGGGCAGGAAGCTCCACAGCGGGGTTACGCAGGGCTCTCCTTTTTGCCACCAAGCAGCAACACAAAACAAGACAAGAAAGAAGGACTGTTCTGATAGGAGTCTGTGTCCTATGACTTCTGCCTAAATGCTGTACACTATACATATTGGCTTCTTTTCGAAAAGAACAGTGTGCTGGTGACAAGGGCTCCTATTCCGTAGACCTGAGCCAATGCCACAGATAAGCCAAGTCTCATTGACTCTAACTGGCTGCTCACTCACTCGCGACCCTAAACCCTAAACCCTAAACCCGAAACCCGAACCCCTAAACCCTAAACCCTAAACCCTAAACCCTAAACCCTAAGCCCTAAGCCCTAAACCCTGAACCCTCAACCCTAAACCGCGCGTGGCCGGGACGAGAGACGTAAGGATTAGCTTTGGCTTGAATCTTGGGCTTGACTACCTCCATCCTTGAGGACCAAGGTTTAGGGTTTAGGGTTTAGGGTTTAGGGTTTAGGGTTTAGGGTTTAGGGTTTAGGGTTTAGGGTTTAGGGTTTAGGGTTTAGGGTTTAGGGTTTAGGGTTTAGGGAAGAACCTTGGGGTTTAGGGTTTATGGTTGAGGGTAACCCTGAACCCTAAAGTTTGGGGTCATACACCCTCTGCTACTTTCCTTCCTTAAGGTATACGAACCCATAAACCCTTTTAGGGTGCATAACGTTTGGTCCCCAAGCAACATCCTGAACCCTAAGCCCAGCTGCAACGGCGGACGAGGTGCCTCTTCAAAAAAAAAGGTAGAACTCCCAACATAGTACCCTCTGCTACTCTTGGGTCATGCTTAGCCCTAAACCCTAAACCCTAAACCCTAAACCCTAAACCCTAAACCCTAAACCCTAAACCCTAAACCCTAAACCCTAAACCCTAAACCCTAAACCCTAAACCCTAAACCCTAAAGGGGATCTACCTTTTTGGATCCTCCCAGGGCTCTGGGAAGGGTTCGGGTTTGGGGCTGCAGAGAGCGCGTTGAACTCGTGCATCGCTTTAACACGCCCACCACGTCACAGACCGGTTTAGGGTTTAGGGTTTAGGGTTTAGGGTTTAGGGTTTAGGGTTTAGGGTTTAGGGCAACATGAGATTCTCGCAAGTGGGGGCTTGCTTTGGGGGGGGGGGGGGGGGTCAATTATAAATATTGTGGTTTTTGTTTCATTTGATTACTTCCTTTTCGATATTTGTTATTTGTATTCTGTTGTTTTTTTTTTGGGCGGGGAGGGGGTATTTGGAGGTTTTGGGCCACTTTGGGCCACTTTGGGCAACTTCGAGTTGAACTGATGAGGCCCGGGCGCGTTGAAGTACCTGCGCCACTGTGCGAAGACACGAAGGACCGCCGACTTTACCAGGACAGTCCAAACTCAGAGGGTTCTTGTTGCCGCCTGCCTAGGATGGAGGGCCTATATGGTTAATGCTTTGGGATGCTTTAGGGATAAAATGCCCTAAGCCCTAAACCCTAACCCCTAAACCCTAAAAGCTCGGAGGTTGGTATCAAAAAGAGTGAAGACAGCATGACAGCGCAGACTCACGCAATGGACGCTTTGCACCCTTCGTGGGCGCACAGCTCCAACTTGGAAATCTGCTTCTCTTCCGCATAGACCTTGTTGACGGGCGGAGGGACTGCCACCCCGGAGATCGAGAAAGAGGAATGTGAACCCGGCAAGAGAGAGCCAGAGAGAGAAAGAGAGAGAGAGAGGGAGATGTAGAGCGGGGCTGTTGACCCCATGGACTCTCCACATCAGTTTCTCGAGAAACCCATGAGCTTCTCACCTTAATGGTGGACACATTTCAGGCCTTTCGTACAGGCAGGCTCGATACAACTTGTCAAGCGAGCAGGAAAGCAATCGGTGTGGCAATGTTTGCCTGGTTCACACGGCGCATCAAAATCAAGACTGGGGATCCAGCGCAAATCTTTCCCGGGCGCTTCCTTGGGACAAAGCAAAGACTCTCGCTTGCAAGGCCACCTAAACATCCCAGATTCTGTACTTTTTCTCGACCTTATCCAAAGCCCTAACCAAAGCCCGATGTTGTGGCCCCTAAAGCTCTCAAACCTTAGGCCGTGGTATAGCTTGGTAGAGCCGGCGCCGTGAGCTTGCAGGCTATTTTCTGGTCGGGGATTCGTCCCTAAACTAAGGAACCTTAGGGAAGCTTCGGGTAGCCTTAGGGAGTATATAATGTTAGGGAGGAGTACCCTAAGTAACCCCTAAACCCTAAACACCCCCTGAATGGGGGAGGGGGAAGGGGCCTGCACCCTAAACCTCAACGACCCAAGCCCTGCAAAGACTTATAGAGATGAACGGCTGGAAAACCCCAGAACCGTGTTCTCTTTTTCAGCAGTACCATAGCTGCTTCTTATCCTCGTCACTCATATATATATATATGTATATATATATATATGTATACATATATAAATATATACAAACGACGTGTATCATAGTCCATTCGTCTCGCTTTTCTTGAGATGAGAGCGTCCTGCAAGTACCACTTTCCCTTATGGCCTCGAACCCGACTTCCCTGAACCCCAAACCTCAAAAAACCAACCCCTAAACCCCTAAACCCCAAACCCTAAACCCTAAACCCTGAACCCTAAACCCCAAACCCCAAACCCTAAACCCTAAACCCTGAACCCTAAACCCTAAACCCTAAACCCCAAACCCTAAACCCTAAACCCTGAACCCTAAACCCTAAACCCTAAACCCTAAACCCTAAACCCCTGCGCCCTTCTTTCTTGGCGCACTTCTGGCTTCGCCCCCTGCCAGTCGCCCTAAGCTTCCCCGAAGGGCAGGGGATGGAAGGTCCCTCGATATATCACTATCTCTTCTCGAAACCCTGAAGCTAAGGTTTAAGGTTCAGGGTTTAGGACTTATAGGGTTTGGGGATTGGGGGTTTTGGGGAGTTTGGGGTTTTAGGGATTTTGGGGGTTAGAGATTGAGGGCCGAGGGCTTCTTTCTTGGCTTGGGGTTTGGGGGGGGGGGGGGGGGGGGGGGGGGGGGGGGGGGAGGCCCAGGTCTGGGAGTTGAGGGTTGACGGGACCCGGACGCAGGATCTGGCTAAGCGTATTTGAATATCCCTAAACCCTAAACCCTGAACCCTGAAGCCTAAACCCTAAACCGTAAACCTTAAACCCTAAACCCTAAACCCTAAACCCTAAACCCCAAACCCTAAACCCCAAACCCTAAACCCTAAACCCATTCAAGCTCCCGGTTCCAATGTGTTTGGAAGCCTTGGGGTTATTGGGTTCAAAGGCTTTGATTTTTTTTTGTTAGGGGCAAATTCTGGGTTTGAAGACTAGAAAGATGCCCCCCCATACCTCTACTCTAAGGAGCCTTAAGAATTAGAACAGGGTCTTGGGGGGTTATCATAGCATAATTACGAAGGGGCCAGAAGGGAATACTATTCGCAATCATGCCCACCCCTATATTACAGTCTAGAGCCCCAGCCCCTAACACTTGAGCCTGACACTATGAACCCTGAGCTTGAGTGTTATAGGCCCTTCTACAGACCGAAACCCTAAACCCCAAAGTCCTAAACCCGAACCCTGAACCCTGAACCCTGAACCCTGAAGCCTAAACCCTAAACCCTAAGCCCTAAGCCCTAAGCCCTAAACCCTAAACCCTAAACCCTAACCCTAAACCCTAAACCCTGAACCCGAACGCCCTCACCCATCGAGGTCGATCACAGCCTCGCCCTTCGATGCCGCGATGGGCAGTGTAGCCTTCTCCTCACTGGGTGCAAAGAGTGGCTTGGCCTGGGCTGTTGCTGGGAGTTGCTTCGGGACCCTAAACCCTAAACCCTAAAAACCCAAAACCCTAAACCCTAAACCCTAAACCCTAAACCTCAAACCCTAAACCCAGAACCTGTGGTGTTGGATTTCGAGGGCAACAAAAGCCTATAAACCATAAAGCCCTGCATTCCGAAGCCCAAAATCTCGAACCCCAAATTCCCCAAAACCACTAGGTCTTGCGGCCATGTCCCTAAATAAGGTATGCACTTGGGCTTTGAAGCAAACTTCCCATGTTTTGTCTCACCTATCTGTTTCTCTGCTAAATTCATGTTATGCCAAGAAAAAGAGGTGCAAGGAAACCCTAAATCCTCAACCATTTCCCCTAGACCCTAAGCCCCTAAACCCTAAGCCTCCTAGACCCGAGGAAAAAAATCTTAGTTGTCCAGTAACCTGGGGGAATTAAAGGTTAACCTTTGGGATTCTATTCGGATTAAAATACCCCAAAAAGTTAAACGCTTACCTACTCTACTACTAAGAAAGGCAGAGTGTGATGCAATTCTTCGCCAACGCGGCCCGACCATCCTCCCAAGCTGTCAGTACGCCCCAGTGGTCTGAGGGAAATCGGCCGAGGTCGGGTACCTTCTGAGCTATTTGGGGTTTGGTGGTTTTTGTTTGGTTTGGTTTAGGGTTCAGGGTTAGCTCTTTCATTTTAGGGTTTCGGCTCTCACGCTTTTTCGGGTTTAGGGTTTAGGGTTCGGCTTTTGTCTTTTTGGGATTATCTCTCTCTGTCTCACTCTCTCTGGCTTTGAGTTCAGGGGTCGGGGAGTTGCCGGTTGGGGCCAGGAGGGGGCCCTAGACCCTACAAGGTCTACATGACCTCAAAACCCTGGAGACAGGTTTGGGGGCCCTATAACACGCAAAGTTTCAGGCTTCATAAGGATTACTATAGGGGATTATGGGTGATACAAATTACAAGTTATGTTCAAACCTACCCCTGCGGACCCCTGTGACCCTAAGGCCCCACATCAGCTGATAACCCGAAACTTGGGATGTTCCACCTTATACTAACGAATACTGTTTGTACAAGGGGGAACATACCAACCCAAAACCCTAAACCCCAAACCCTAAACCCTAAACCCTAAACCCCAAACCCTAAACCCTAAACCCCAAACCCTAAACCCTAAACCGGGTAACAACCCCATAAAGGGGCCTCGACGGCGTAGCTTCAGGATCACAGGAGCAGTTGCCCCGGCCCGGGGCTTCCAGATGCAGATCCCAAGGGCCCTTACGTCCTTCCAGCCCTAAGATCTCACAGGGTTTAGGGTTTGGGGTTTAGGGTTTAGGGTTTAGGATTTAGGGTTTAGGGTTTAGGGTTTAAGGTTTTGGGTTTAGGGTTCAGGTTTAGGGGACCCCGAACTCCAGTTGCCTTGCTCTTCCCAACCAGCTCGATGCTCTTTGGCCGCCATCGGTCGCAGGGACGCTCCTGTCTCTGCCCAGGTTGATAGAACGGAGGCCACCACCCCAACTACGACAACAAACACCATAGATGGTGTCGCGGGATAAATAGTGTTTCTAAAACCGCGGAAGAGTCGGAAGTCTCGGCAGGCTGCTACATTGAAGCAGGGTAAATATTTCTTGTACCCCCAAACGGACACCCAGTTTCTACACTCACCAATATGAAACCCTAACCCTAAACCCTAAACCCTAAACCCTAAACCCTAAACCTTGAACCCTGAACCCCCACCCCCCCCCCCCCCCCCACGACCAAAAACAGAAATAAAAACCCTGCTTCACATGATGCGAGGAGGCTTCGCATTACCGGCGAAACGCTTCGCAGACTCCACACAGTTGTGACCCCAGCAACTCCAACCCTAAGCCCTAAACCCTAAACTCTACAACCTAAACCCTAAACCCTAAACCCTAAACCCTGAACCCTGAACCCTGAACCCTGAACCCTGAACCCTGAACCCCTTCCCAACCCCCCCCCAACTTTTTGCCGTCTTTGAGGAACATGAACCCGTGGTCTGACGAATCCCTGACCTCACCGGTACATGAGGCCAAAGTTGGTGTATGGGGGTTAACGAAAATTGTGGTGCTCCTTATTATAAGGGAATCCTACTATTTGGGGGTCTATATTCAGGGTCCCATATCATATTATCATAAACCCCCACATATACCCCCTGCTAACCACAGCCAACTGAAGCTGGACGAGCTCGGAAACCGTTTTCAAAAAGCAGAATGGAGCACTCTAACCCGCAGAACACCAGCACCCAGATTTTTGCAAAGATACACCCCGTTCCAATTTCGAAAAGCATGAGGTTTGGAATGCGCGGTTTAGGGTTTAGGGTTTAATTGCGGATACTCTGAGCGACGCTCTCTCTCGCTCTCTCTCAACCGAAAGGTCATGCCTGAACATCAGCAATGCTCTTGTAGCATCACAACCCTAAGCCCTGAATACGAAGTCCCCTCTCTCGGAAACGACCTTCGGGGCCGCTTTGGCTTTCGGCGTTGCCAGGCTGGGGCAGCCTTTTGCATCTGAAACTCCTCAGCACCGGGCTTGCCAGGGGGGCTTGACTGCTTCCTAAATCCTCGTAAAACAGCAACTAAACCCAAACCCTAAACCCTAAACCCTAAACCCCAAACCCCAAACCCTAAGCCCTAAACCCTAAGCCCTAAACCCTAAACCCTAAACCCTAAACCAAAAAGCCTAATCAATACAGAACACAGGCCAAAAGGTACTCCTGCTTTATGAAGGTTTAGTCCGGGCTCGGCTTAGCGCTAAGAGTGGCTGTTTAGGGATTTAGGGTTTAAGGGTTTTGGGCTTAGGGTTTAGGGTTTAGGGATTAGGGTTTAGGGTTGAGGGCTTCCAAGCGGAGGACTCAGGGGGCTCCAGCTCATTGATGGTTCAGAGGGTCTTGCCGCCCAGACCCTCACACTATGGCTTCTTTGCTGGGGTACGGCATCTTAGTTTAAACAGGTAGGCAGGGTTCATCATAGAAATTTTGACTTGTGGTTCCTGTTGCCTCTCTCTTTATCTCTCTCTCTCTCACTCACTCACTCACTCACTCACTGGCTCTCTCTCTCGCTCCCGTGCACAAGCCAGCTGTCAGGCGCGACATTCTGCGAGCCATGCCCTCAACTCCTCAAACAGAACAAAAACCCTAAACCCTGAACCCTGAACCCTAAACCCTAAACCCTAGACCCTAACCCTAAAACCCTAAAACCCTAAAACCCTAAAACCCTGAAACCCTAAACCCTAAACCCTAAACCCTAAACCCCGCACCAGGGCACCAGGGCTGATGAAGAGCATCCGGTCGAAGCGGGTCTTGCACGCGAAGGTCGCACCGATGTTCGTGTTGGCCTGAGGAGGGGGTCGAGGAGTCGGAAGGGGGTGTGGAAGGGGGGTTTGGGGTTTAGGGTTTAGGGTTCAGGGTTTAGGGTTTAGGGTTTAGGGTTTAGGGTTTAGGGTTAGGGTTTAGGGTTTAGGGTTTAGGGTTTAGGGTTTAGGGTTTAGGGTTTAGGGTTTAGGGTTTAGGGTTTAGGGTTTAGGGTTTAGGGTTGAGGGATTCGCGTGTGCAGGTAGCAGCCAAGCTGCTGTGGTATCCCAAGTCCATCGATCAGCTTCTGGCGAGCCACAGAATGTCCAAACCTCATGGCAGTTTCAGGGCCAGGGTTTAGGGTTTAGGGCTTAGGGTTGCAACCCTAAACCCCAAAATGCCTAACCCTAGACCCTAAAAGCGCTAAAACGCTTAGACCCTAAACCCTAATTCTGAAGTCTTCCAGGCCCTCCAATTTGTAGTTCCACTTTTTGGGGCACTTGGTTTTCAGATTTATCAAAGACAGTTACGCGCACACGTACACATACACCACTAAATAAATCACAAAGATACAAGGCCCCTCCAAAGAAGAAACTCTCGGTTGACCCAGCCCGACCCAACCCTCTCCAAATTCAAAGCCCGGCCACATCTGACATTCCGCGCGCGTCATCGCCTAGCTCCTGACCGCAGCTCCAGGCACCCTAACAAACGCTAAACCCTGAACCCGAAACCCTGCACCCTAAACCCTAAACCCTACAAACTTAACCCCTAGAAGCATCCCAAGGCCCTAATACCCTGAAGCATCCTGACCCCAAACGAGGCCAAGGCCAAGGCGTGATCGCAAGCAGTGGTCAACACCCCTTGTTCCTAACTCTCGTGCGAAGTAGGGTCGGCCACTATCGGCTACTTGGAGGTTCAGTGTACTTATAACCCAACCATAAGTGTAGCTATGACCCACTTCTATGCCCCTTAAGCACCCTAATGGAGTCATAATTGGATTCCAAGTACAGTTATGATTCGTTCATAGCTGCATAGGCTCGTGGCTTGTTCGAAAATCATGCGAGGTGAGGTGTTATCGAGTCTCGGAAGCAGCTCGGGGAGTTTGTCCGCCCACCTCGCAAAGGGCAACCCCCTGAAGTCCTAAAGCCGTTCACCTGAGGAGTCCTAAGGAGCTAAACGACGGTTTTGCCAGGCACTTGATCCTAAAACCCCTAGCAGCCCTCAACCCCAAAGACTTAAAAGTCCTTGCCTTGAAAACGCGAAGAAACAGCAACTACCTCATGCGTAGGAGCCGTTCAGAACCCCCCCCCCCCCCCCCCCCCCGGCCGCTCCAGGATGTCGGGTATAGTTTCGAGGGATTTAGGTTCAAGGGCACGGGCTTTTTGGGTTTAGGGCTTAGGGGCTTTGGGGCTAAGTTTCTTGCATATGGCACACTAAGGCTTTGAGGGATTTGTTTACTTTAGGGCTGAAACTCCCCTAAACCCAAACCCTAAACCCTAAACCCTAAACCCTGAACCCTAAACCCTAAAACCTAAACCCTAAACCCTAAACCCTAAACCCTAAACCCTAAACCCCAGGAGCCTTGTGAACTGCCTTCACTTCCTCGTCTCTGATGTTCAAGTCACCACCGAACCTCGAGACAGGTCGTGCGTGGGGTTTGCTGTCCCTGAGCCACCAAACCTTATAATGGTCCCTAAACCCTAAACCCCAAACCCCAAACCCTAAACCCTAAACCCTGAACCCTGAACCCTGAACACTAGATTGCTAACTTGCAGGGGCCTATATTCGGGGTGCTTCTCAGGGTATCTAGATCCAATTTTCCAAGGTACAAGGGTGACAGATCAAGAGGCCGCTGGCCTTTGTAACCCAAACCCTGAAGCCACAAATCCGAAACACATCCCGAGTTTAGGGTTTAGGGTTTAGGGTGAGAGCCCGGAAACTCTGGCTCTTACCCCTGTAGACCTTAGCCCGAAACCATAAGCACTCAAGCATGTGCATGCGCGCATCCACGCAAAGGCACATGGCGGCTGCAATCGGGGGCCCTCCGGGCAAGGCCGGCGGAGGCTTGCCGACTGCCTCGTCCACAGATTCATGATCATATTATCCCCCTTGAAGAGTCAGAGAGTCAAAGAGTTAGAGGGTCAGAGAGTGAGCGAGTGACAGAGCCAGAGGGTCAGAGAGTGAGAGAGTGAGAGCCAGACTCACAATTGGGCGGTGTAACGAATTCTGCTAGTAGCTTGGTGCCGGGTTAGGCCCAATGTCACGCGGAAGTCTTAGACCATGTTGCTGTGTCAGGCTTTGATTGCTTTGCCTCCTTGCTATTATTTCTTATCTTCTTTATTTATTTTGCATTTTCTCTTGAGGGGGTGTTTCCTCTCTATTCTTAGCTTATATTGTTCTGTTTTTTTTTTTGGGGGGGGGGGGGGGGGGGGGGGGGGGGGGAGTGGGGAGTGGCATGTTCTGTCGCACGGAGGCTTCTGAGGGCATCCCGGAAACATTTTCTTCTTTGCAAGACCGTTCGGGTGCAACAAATAGAGATGTTCACACGCTGGGGAGCTCCATTGCTGGGATCTGGCTACGACCGCAGCGAGCACCTCTGCCAAAACTACCCCTTTGCACGACCCAGCCCCCCTCAAAACAGAGTTCACAACATGCGACCCGAAAAAAGGTAGCACCTTTTGCAACACGCTGTGTGTCCGAGTGATTCGCTCGACAGTCTGACGGGCAACAAAGAATCCTGGACCAATGGAAGCTAGATGGCCTTGACTCTTGACTCTTGCAGAATAGTACGCTATGCGCCTGCCTAAAAGCTGGAAGAATGCAAAGCTGTTGCTTGCCACTCAAGAACCGAATTCCCACCCAGCATACCCAAAACCCTGGCTTGCTTCTATGCCTTCTGGATGTAGCGCAGACTGTGGGCTAACCTGACAATGCCAGGTCGGGCTGAAAGTGTTTGAGTTCAACTTGTCAGGTCAGGGCGCGGGCTTCGAAACTCAGGGCTGGGGTCACATTAGTATACTGACAGGCGCCCTGGGGTTTGGGGTTTTGGGTTTAGGGTTTAGGGGATTTTAGGGTTTAAGGTTCACCCCTGCACCTTCCCTTTATGAGCCCTATAAACACACCTTATGGTACCAGGCAGGCACGGGAGCCGAATCCCAGCCAGCCGAAGCTCTAGAAGCAGCTTCGGGTTTAGGGTTTAGGGTTTAGGGTTTAGGGTTTAGGGTTTAGGGTTTAGGGTTTTAGGGTTTTAGGGTTTTGGGTTCAGGGTTTAGGGTTTAGGGTTTTAGGGTTTAGGGTTTAGGGTTTAGGGTTTAGGGCTCCTATAAGGCCCAAGAGCTGCTTCTTCCGCTCCAGAGCATGGTCTTTGGTGCCTCGGGCACAGGGTTTAGGGTTTAGGGTTTAGGGTTTAGGGTTTAGGGTTTAGGGTTTAGGGTTTAGGGTTTAGGGTTTAGGGTTTAGGGTTTGGGGTTCTTCAGGAAGGGCTGTTGGGTTTAGGGGGGCTCCTAGGGGGCCTTCTGGGCTGCAGGCTGAGGTATCCTCGAAAGAAGCCATTGCTGCTGGATCCTAGCCCTGACAAGCCCAACCCACCCATATCGGATGGTTTCAATTTTTCTGGCAGTAACCAGAGAACAGAGAACTGAAGCTACTAAACTCTGACCCCTGGATACCCTAAAGCCCTTCAACTATAACCTTGTTGGGAAACGGACTTTGGAGGCTGCCGGCAAACATGCAACTTCCCAGAAGTCACATCACGCAATCTGACGCAAACTGTCCTAAACCCTAAACCCTAACCCTAGACCCTCTCTCTCCCCCGTTTATCCGGGGGTCTTTCAAGGTGGGCGGTGGCAAGCAAGAGTGCTCCCGCCTGAGACGCATTGTGTTTTCGAGGGTTCCGGTTTAGGGGTTTAGGGGTTCTGTAGCTCAGAATTTTGGATGAGAGTTCCACGGCTCTGTGTAGGGTGTAGGAGCTTCGGGCTCTGGAGTTTGAGCATAGAGCCTGGGACTCATGGGCCATTTTGGGATCGGTGCTGTAGGCCCCGGAGAAGACTGGCGACACAAAAGCTGTGGCGTGCAGGCTTGCGGGGGTTTGCAAGGGCTTGGGGTCTTAGGGTTTGAGGTTTCAGGGTTTCTCCTAAAGCCTAAACCCTAAACCCTAAACCCTAAACCCTAAACCCTGAACCCTAAACCCTAAACCCCCTCCTGCAGAACTGGACGAGCTGCATCCTTTCAGGGTTTAGACTTTAGGCCTCCTTTCTTGGGAGCCTCTTCAGCAGAAACCCAAAAGCCGCAAATGAATTTAGGGTTTAGGGTTTAGGGTTTAGGGTTTAAGCAAGAGCCATTGCCAGACACCCCGTAGCCTCAACTTGCATTGTCTTTGACACCTACAGGCCCTAAACTATAAAAGTATCTGGTCGAACAAGAACCCGTGCAGTAAGTTGCAGCCTCCATGTGTACTTTACGCATTCTGAGCATGTCTGCAGATTTTGGCACCCGGATTCAGTACACCCTAAACTCCAAAGCCCTTCGCCACTGGCGCCTTGGGCTTGTGCTTGAGTTCCACCGCCACTGCCAGTAGCTGCCGCCCCATCTGGGTAGATGGAAACCTTGGACGCAAGGTCTGTTTCTGCCACATGAGGGTTTAGGGTTTAGGGTTTCGGGTTCTGTGTCTTGCTTAGGGGCTTTGGGGATGGGTTGCGACTCCGGGGTTCATGAGACGCGGAGCTTTCGTCATGCTTGACGTCATGCTTCAGGGATTCTACACCCACCCATGCCTTGGGGACGAAATGAACCCTAAAATTGGGGGTCATGTACCCTGACTACTATAATTCCTATTAAGGTATATGAGCCATAAACCCTTTTAGGGTTCATTTCGTCCCCAAGGTGAGTGCCCCCATGGGAAGCTTTGTGAAGTGCGTGAGAACGAAACCCAGCCCTACGTGCAGGAAGAGGATCCGCGGCGCAAGCCTTGAGCAAACCCTAGTAGGGGTTATCCCTAAACCCTAAACGCTAAACCATAAACCCTAAACCCTAAGCCCTAAACCCTGGTAGGGGTTACCCCCCCAAGCTCAGTGCGTCTGAAGAACGGCACAGTGACCGGCTCCGCCAGTTTCGTCAGCTGCTTGCGATCGAGGAGCATGGCCACATAGTACCTCGGCGCAGCTTCGGGCCAGCAGGGCTTCAGATTTCTTAAGCCCTAAACCCTAAACCCATCTAAACCCTAAACCCTAAACCCTAAACCCTAAACCCTAAACCCTATTAGACCCCAGACGTCGGGACTGAGGAGAAAAAACACAAGACCCTGGCCATAAATCGTGTAGATGCAGACCATCTCAGCAACTGCTCGACGTGCGTAGTCCTATGCTTGGGGTTTAGGGTTTAGGTTTTAGGGTTTGGGGTTTAGGGTTTAGTGACGTTTCCTCCCTCCAAAGGGAGATACCACCATCGGTGCCCTCCCCCAAACCCTGAAACCCCTGATCCAAAATCCTACTCCCCTCTACATCCCAGATCCTGGGGATCTGTTCTTGCAAGGACAACGCCCAACAAAAAACCCTAAACCCTAAACCCTAAGCATCCACAGAACCCTCATAAACGCCTAAACCCTAAACCCTAAACCCTAAACCCTAAACCCTACACCCTAAACCCTAAACCCTAAACCCTAAACCCTAAACCTAAACTCTAAACCTAAACCCTAAACCCTGAACTCTGAAGCCTTCAACAGCGGCCTTCTACTGTCGCATTCATCTCCCGAGGCACGGCACAGGTGGATCCCTGGGCACCAGGACCTCATATTCAGTGCCCAGGACCTGGGTTTCGGGTTTAGGGTTTAGGGTTTAGGGTTCCGGGGTTAGGGTTTAAAAGGCTTTGGGATGGTTTGCACTTGGGGAAGCTCTACAAGTTGAGTAGGGTCCAGGGTGGTTTGTAGGACGGAAATAATAACTATACGTGGCTACTTGCATTGTCAATCCAACGTCCGGCACGCCTGCTGGAAAAGTTGGCAGAGCTAAAGCCCCAAACCCCAAACCCCAAACCCTACACCCTAAACCCTAAACCCTACACCCTAAACCCTAAGCCCTAAGCTCTAAGCCCTAAGCCCTAAACCCATCCACTCTCTCGCGCCTGGGGAGCTGCCAGGAGCTCCAGCGCCGGCGGGATCACCTCCCCGCAGCTCCAGGATGTTCAAAGACGCTGCTGCTTGGACTTTTTGAGCTATGATTTCGGACCGGGGGGGGGGGGGGTAGGATTCAGGGTTTGGAGTTTAGGGGTTTAGTCCTTGATTTTTTTTGTTTGTTGGGGGGGGGGGCGTTAAGGTTTAGAGTTTGGGGTTTAATTAGGATTCAGGGTTCAGGGTTTGGGGTTTAGGGTTCAGGAGGGCTTTTTGAATTTGTTGCCATGCCACCAGTTTGACCAGCCGAAAGGCAGGTTTTCGCGTGCCTTCTGTAGAAGGGGTCTTGACATGCAAAGCCCTCACCCCTAAACCCTAAACCTTAAACCCTTAACCCTTAACCCTTAACCCTTAACCCTAAACCCTAAACCCTAAACCCTAAACCTGGAGGTCCAATGGGTTTTGGAAGGCCTGCAAAGGATGGTGTGTCAGTGCGTGGGGGTCACATGTCAGCCTCACCCACCCACCTCCTCCTTTGGTAAGAAAACGACCATGGCACCCTAAACCCTAGGCCCTAAACCCTAAACCCCAAACCTACCGGACAATCTGCGTGGGTCCTCCTGCAGAAACACAGCTGCTGGACGCTTCTCGGCCACCTGAATGGGAGGCCGACACCCCAAGTCGAGCATCCAAAAACCATGGATGCTGATCGTAAGCCTGCAGAATCCCAAAACCTACACCCCAAGACCAGAAGAGACCCCTAAAACCCCGAATCTCCGCGCCGACAAGCCCAATGACAGGGTGTTAGGCTTGGGGTTTCAGATTTGAGGGTTCTGGGCACCAAGATCCCTGGCTCGGGACCCTACAGAACCTAAACTGCTCTAAGCAACCACAAAAAAAGATACACTACATCAGCATATACCATTGGATTGCATACATATGTACATGTGTACATATGTACATATGTATGTATGTATGTATGTATTTATGTATGTATGTATGTACGTATGTATACATGTATATAAACATGTGCAACATAACTACACGCGTATATACTCTACATACATGTATAAGTGTATGTATATATATATATATATGTATGTATGTATGCATGCATTAATGTATGTATGTATGCATAAACATGTTGTGTCTACATAGCGAGAGAGAGAGAGAGATAGAGACAGAGAGATAGAGAGAGGTTGAGAGAGATACAAAGAGACAATGCGAGAGGGAGAGAGAAAGAGAGATTATGAACAAAACCAAAAAAACAGAGAGAGAGAGAGGCAACAAAAGCAGAGGGCACAAATATGCAGCCGACCATCTGCACTACGGGCTTTGCGCCTCCTTAGCCACAGCCAGGGCCCTCTTGCTCAAGGCCGGGCCTCCTCCCACCTGTGAGGGTGCTGGGGCTTTTGAGTTTTCAGGTAGGTTCGGGGTGCCACGGGCCTGGGATTTGTGAGGGCAGGGCCCCAGGGGGCGTAAGGGCGTACTTGCAAACTGGTTGAAGGTGGGGCCGTAAGCCCATTGCATCGACCTTGGGGGAAAGTTTTCACGGCCAGTTCGGTGGATTAACATTGCAACCTCCTTTTCTCTCACCGTCCGACCGTCCGGTCTAGAAAGGTCAGTAAGTCCCAGAACCTTCGAGTATAAGCCCTGAACGCTATCTGATGCCTTTTTGGATGCCCTAAGACGCACTGCCACCTCGTCGAGACCATCGATGTTCCTGGGCTGTGGCAGCAAGAGGGCAAGATCCCAAACCACAACAAACTTAGCAGAAATACCCCCCCCCCCCACAAGCAATGACCACCACAAAAAAGGCCAGAGTCCTAGACCATAAACCCTGTAAACCCTACATAAACCCCCTGTAATCCCTACATAACCCCTACAAACCCTAAAAATTATGAGCTCAGGAACCACGTAAGCACTCGAAGATCTTCCGGCAGGGGCTTGGCCAGGAGCGCCCGGATTTCCGCGGTCCGCTCCTGCGCGGTAGGCTTTCCTATACACGTCTAGGTTTAGGGGGCTTGGGGTTTAGGGTTTAGGGTTTAGGGTTTAGGGTTTAGGGTTTAGGGTTTAGGGTTTAGGGGCATAGACTTGGGAGCCCCACCAGAAACGAATATAGGGGCCTGAATAAGTAGAACAAGTGTTTGTCTTTTTTTTTTTGGGGGGGGGGTTAGTTTTGTACAACTATAAAGGGGCCCTATAAGGGAATACTAGGCTACTAGTCTTCGATGGTGGTCACACATTCCACAGCAAACCTCAGGATGGACTCAAGAGCTTCCTCTGCATGATCTGGGGCAGCGCTCACGGGTGATATGGGGGGGGTTTAGGGTTTGGGGTTTAGGGTTTAGGGCTTAGGGTTTAGGGTTTCCGAATTTCGGGGGTGCGCTAGATCGGAGTCCTTCTTGTCAGGGAATCCTACGATCTCAGGATCTATGTTCGGGCTCCCTTATGTTCGTAAATCCCCCCATATATTGCTATGCCTTGGGGTATGGAAGGGCTTTGGGCTTGAGGAGCGCCCTCGAGATTCAAAGTCTGAAACGATTTGGTGCAAATAGGGTTCGGGTCTACGATGCCACGAGGACTTTGTTGAAGAGGGTTTAGGGTTTAGGGTTTAGGGTTTAGGGTTTAGGGTTTAGGGTTTAGGGTTTAGAGCTTGCCTTGGGGACGACGAAGACGTCGGGATCTGTACGAGCACGCTTCACCTCATGTGGGGGCGGAGGGAGGGGGGGTGCCCAAGGTAGGGGTACTTATAGGTCTTGGGGGGGTATATTGAGGTAAAGGACGTCCTGAGGACCAGAAGGGGAAGCAAAAGTTGAGTTGTTAGAGGCGTGCCAGGGCACGGGCCAGGGTGCTTTGCTTTAGGATTTGGGGTTTCCGAAAAGGGGGGGGGGGGGGGGGACCCTTTTCGCTTTTTAGGCCGTTCCCCGTTTTGGGGCTCTGCTGATTTTGGGGGACTCCTACTTCAGGGAGTGGGCCTAACCCCTAAACCCCAAACCCTAAACCCTAAACCCCAAACCCACTTGGGGTTGTGGGTTCAGGGCTGTGGGCTCGGGGAGAAGGGTCATGTCACGAGCCTTGCCGCCTTCTCAGTCGCGGGACCCAGTGCCTGAACGAACCCTCAACCCTAAACCCTAAACCCTAAACCCTAAACCCTAAACCCTAAACCCTAAACCCTAAACCCTAAACCCTAAACCCTAAATCCTAAACCCTAAGCCCTAAACCCTAAACCGGGAGCTTCCGCCACGAAAGAAAGACGTGCAAAGGCTCTCAGTTCTGAAACACACTTAAGCGCCCCGTGGCCCACAAACAACGAAACCTTGTGGTCCTGAAACCCTGAAACCTGAAATCCTAAAACCCTTGTTACAACTCTTAAGCTCTTCGCCCTGAATAAGCCACAACCCTTAAACCCTCAAACCCCTAAACTCTTACACCCTAAAAGCCCTCAACCCTTCAACCCTGTGCCCAATCGCTACAAGCTCATGTGTTCCCCTACTACACCCCTCTACCCCCCCTAGGTTCCCCCCTTACATAACCTTGATTAGTCTTAATTATCCCTGTTGCCGGGATAGTAGTAGGGTTTAGGGTTTAGGGTTTAGGGTTCAGGGTTCAGGGTTCAGGGTTCAGGGTTCAGGGTTCAGGGTTCAGGGTTCAGGGTTTAGGGTTTAGAGTTTAGGGTGTATTTAGGGTTTAGGGATTAGGATAGGACAAGCACGCCGTGGCTGCGACTTGAGGCCGACGCCGGACGTGCCAGCTCGGGCGGGGCGTCGGCCAACAGGGAGCCGATGGGGGCATCCAACTTCCTCGATTAGGGTTTAGGGTTTAGGGTTTAGGGTTTAGGGTTTAGGGTTTAGGGTTTAGGGTTTAGGGTTTAGGGTTTAGGTGTTTTTTTTCGCTCCCGCATAGCTGGCCGAACCGCAGGTTTAGGGGTTAGGGTTTAGGGTTTCGGGTTTAGGGACAAGAGATCAGGGTTTGGGTGAGAGTTAAGGGTGTGCGGTTTCGCCCTTGGGGTTTAGGGATTAGCGTTTGGGGTCTGAAAGTGCTGAGTGTTTTTGCCTCAAGGGTACTTCGGGGCTTTAAAGGCATTTTTGGGAAAAGGAGCAAGTGTAAGATTCTGAATTCAGGGTTTAGGGTTGAAGGCTATTTAGGATCCCCAAGCCCTAAACCCTAAACCCTAAACCCTAAACGCCCTAAACCCTAAACCCTAAACCCTAAACTCTGAGCCAGGCGTCTCCGGTGGAAGGTTGGCCAAAACTTCTGGCAATGACGGGGCGGCCGACTCTGCGGGGGCGGGCGAAGCCTGCACTTGGCCCTAAACCCTAAACCCTAAACCCTAAACCCTAAACCCTAAACCCTAAACCCTAAACCCTAAACCCTGAACGCCAAGAAGTCCCTTAATGATGTTCATTAGGGTTCCGGCTGCATCTCCACGAACAACTGGAAAGAACTACTATGGTTCTGACTGCCGTATGGAAAGCGCCCTGCCGCAATGCCAGTCCTAACCGTCCTAACCAATACGAATGGACATCCAAATCTCAGAGACTGGGGTTTAGGGTTTAGGGTTTAGGGTTTAGGGTTTAGTTACACCCTGAACCATCCCAAGACCGAAGCCCTGAAGGGATTGCAATTCCTTTCATGAGAGTTGAGAGTTGGCCTTCTGCGCCAGGAACTTCTCCTCAGTTGGCCATCTCATCAGAACCGAAAGCAGTGGCACGCAAGGACTGAGGACTGTCGAGGTTGGTGCTGTCTGCTTATAAAGGTTACAGTAGCCTCCGACACAGTTTCCCGAACCCCCAACAATGACAGAGCACGAATGGTGTTAAAACACCACACACGCCCAATGGAAACCACATTTCTTCCCCATGCAACTAGAATGTCGGTTGCGGCATACGGACCACTAGAATCCGGGCTTGATCCCCGGGGGTAGGGGGTGGGTGTCACTCAGGTCCCGGACCCACAGCACAAGTCTACTCTTGCGGCCGAAGATTCCTACACCACTTCGAAGGCAGCAACGCCCATGTCATCACCCGAGCCCGGACACTTAAATGGATCCAAGAATCGGTCCCCGAATCTTATTGGACGGACGTACTGGCAGCTATTGTGGGCCCCAGAAGCCCCAGACCCCAAACCATAAAGGGGATCTGTCCCCCTGAGCGCTAAACCCTAAACCCTAAACCCTAAACCCTAAACCCTAAGTCCCTCTCACTTTTGACCACCCCGCACCTTAAAAAGATAGATGCTTTCTTCTACAGATTCCTACGCAGAGTAGTCAACATAAAGGCTTCTTACTACTCCCGACTCTCAAACCAACAAGTCTGGCGGGAAGCTCTAGGCCCCAGACTCCCGTCAGAAATCCTATTGCAGAAGCAGTCCGGGTACCTGGAAGAACTCTTTGCCACTGATATTGCCGAACCCACCCATAACGTCGTGTTTTGCAGCGCATTCAAAGATAGGATTGTAGCACAAGGACGCCGAAGAGGTATGCAATTCCCATATTGGCTAGAGACCACCACCAAAACGCTACATCCGGACGTATGGGTGGACCACTCCGCAGACCTGTCAAACCCCCTAAAGGGACCTCATGATAAGTACCTCAGACTAGCCAGGAAACTGCGGCAGAGCCGAAAAGAAGCAACGCACAGCATGCATGGCATACGCCACAAAAAAAAACCCTAAGTCCCAAGCCCAAAGGGTTTAGGGTTTAGGGTTTAGGGTTTAAGGTTTAGGGTTTAGGGTTTAGGGTTCAAGGGGACCGGCTTTTGTTCATCGCAGGGCTTAGGGAAGAGAAGCCAGGAGTCCCTGGCTGCTTGGCGGATGGCTGCCAGCTGCGGGTCGACCTTTCCTTGGCTGCTGCAGGGCTTCAGGGGTTAGGGTTTAGGCTTCAGGGTTTTAGGGTTTTAGGGGTTTTAGGGGTTTTAGGGGTTTTAGGGGTTTAGGGGTTTAGGGGTTTAGGGGTTTAGAGGTTTAGGGGTTTAGGGGTTAGCGGGATAGATCCCCTTTATGGCGCGGGGGTCTAGGGCTTTTGCGGCCCACAAAGCAAAGCGTAGGGTTTAGGGTTTAGGGTTTAGGGTTTAGGGTTTAGGGTTTAGGGTTTAGGGTTTAGGGTTTAGGGTTTCGGGTTTCGGCTTTCGCTTGTAAAGAGGGATTTCCACTCGCACAAGCAGGCTAGGATTCTGGAGGGATTTCCCGGGTTTAGGGTTTAGGGTTTAGGGTTTAGGGTTTAGGGTTTAGGGTTTAGGGTTTAGGGTTTAGGGTTTTTAGTCTAGGGGTTTAGGGTTTAAGGTTTGAGGTGTCTCCTACGCCAGAAATGCGAAGCCCTACGCCAAGAAACGCTAACCCCCGCAAACTGCTCTGACCATCCACCTTTCTGCCAATTGCCAGCCCAGGCTCTCATGGCAACAGAGGGCAGCTCAGGAAGGAGTCAGAATCCTAAGCCTACCTCAAGGTAACGTTTGCGTCTCAGCTGGCAAGGGGGACTTGAGATGCTTTGGAAGGCTTTCCCTCTCAAATGGTTGACCTTGTGCAAGGCTACATGGCCTGGGAGCCTCGGAATGCATGACCATGCATGACCTTTTTTCCTTTTTAGGGAACCCTCTGTGTGCTTTCAGACTCTCAGCGGCGGCGTGGCAGGTGGGTGGCAGCTTTGTTCCAAGCCAGGATTCTAGTTTTGGGGGAGAGAACTGTTAAAAGAGGAGTCATTCCTTACAAAAGGTAGAGGGAACCTATGAGAAAGGTGACCCGAATCTGGAACAACCCCCCGCATGTCAGGAGATGCATCCAAGAAGGCACTCTACATGTCCACAAAGACCTTGTCAAGCGCAACTTCTTCTTCGTCCCCTTCACCCGGTTCAAGCCCGGATCCCCCAAACTACACAAGCCCCAAGCCCAAATCAACCCTTGAACAAATCTGCATATTTACAAGTGGGCCCAAATAGTATCCTTCTAATGAGGACCCCAATAAGGTAAACCCCCCAAATTGCGGAAACGCCCAAGCGTCTACAAGAGGACCCAAATTCAGAACACTCCCCATGTGAGTCTTCTGGGATCAAGACTGTCGGATGGGCGCGGTCAGGTTGCTGTGTGCCGTTCTTCTGCCGTATGTCAAGCTCTGTAGAAACAAACCCTAAACCCTAAACCCTAAACCCTAAACCCTAAACCCTAAACCCTAAACCCTAAACCCTAAACCCTAAACCCTAAACCCTAAACCCTAAACCCTAAACCCTAAACCTAACCCTAAACCCTAAACCCTAAACCCCAAACACTTCAGAGAGGGAGATTGGGAGACCCTTGAGGAGCCGGCTCACCCTTTTTCCGGTGGATGTTTGCCAGCCTTGGGCACGAGCTTTCCAGTTTCGGGTTTAAGTTGGGTTTAGGGTTTAGGGTTTGGGGTTTGGGGTTTAGGGTTTGGGGTTTGGGGTTTGGGGTTTGGGGTTTGGGGCTTGGGGTTTGGGGCTTGGGGTTTGGGATGTTCCCCTTATACTAACAGTCCTTAATCGGGATTGTAATGGGAAGGGGGGGGGGGGTACGATAATCCCTATTCAGGATTGCTAGTATAAGGGGAAACATCCCAAGGTTTAGGGTTTCGGGGGCTTCAAAGCATAGCGTCTTTCGTTTTTAGGGTAGAGTTGAGGGTGCAGGGCGTTGGGATATTGAGGTAACTTCCGACACTCGGCTGAAGAGCTGCAGGTCGGGAAGAGATTTCGACTTCCACCCCCTTGCCAAAAGGACTTAGTTGCTGAGTTCACAATCGCCAAAAAAGTGGCACACTTTCAGTTCTCACGGGGTTATGGTATCCCAAAAAGTGTCAAGTGTACTCACTCAGCTAGTCAGAGGAACAACAAGTTTATGCGCCCTAGACCCTGAAAGCAAACTTTCCCGGACGTCAGAGTCAGAGCCCCTGGCGTAGCCAACAACAGGGTTTAGGGTTTAGGGTTTAGGGTTTAGGGGTTTAGGGGTTTAGGGGTTTAGGGGTTTAGGGTGACCCCGGAACCCAGAAACCTTGTCTGGAGCAGGGCTATCTCTAGGCCCGAAGCCGATATTTTAACAAACCCTCTAAGCCCTCTAAGCCCTCTAAACCCTCCAAAACATATTAAACCCTATAAACCCTGTAAGCCCTTTAATACCCTAGCGACCCTACAACCCTGTAAACCCTTGAAAAGCCTTTAAAACCCTATAAACCCTATCAATCCCTAAAAACCCTATCAATCCCTAAACCCTAAACCCTAAACCCTAAACCCTAAACCCTAAACCCTAAACCCTAAACCCTAGACCCTCAACTTCCCAGCGCCGGAGCGGCTTCTTGCGGAGCCAACCTTCCGACGAGGAGTTCACCTCGCGGAGGTGTGGTTCTGGGCTTGCTGAGCTTTTTGCTCAAGAACCCTAAACCCTAAACCCTAAACCCTAAACCCTAAACCCTAAACCCTAAACCCTAAACCCTAAACCCTAAAACCCAATAAAAAGAAAGCAATTATTCTTCCCTGTAAGGGCAATATAGGGATGATGACTTTCGATTTTTTGGGGGGGGTTCTGAAGCAAATAGTAGTGAAGGTTTGTTGGGTGAGGGGCTGAGTGTTTCTAGGGTGCATAGGGTAGGGTTCATAAGGTTCTTCAGGTTTATCGCATTTGTAGGGTTTCTAGGGTGTCTGGGTTCATATAGGGTGTAGGCTCAGGGTTTCAAACGTGCTGTAAGCCGCTGTTGCTGAGGGATTTCGAGCGACTTGGCTATAGTCGGATTTCGAGGTCTCGAGCAAACCGAATGTTGGCAGATAAAGGGGTTTCGGGTTTAGTTCTAAACCCCCCCAAAAAAGCCCTGTATTCCCTGTCAACCCTATAAACTCTATGAACCCTATAAACCCTGTAAACCCCATAAACCCTATAAACCCTATAAAACAAAAAAGCCTCCGGGTTTAGGCGTTGAGAGTGTGGACGCAAAAGCCCACTGGCCAATCACCAGAACTCTCCTGAAATGATCCTTGCTGCCGCCACACAGGTGCCATACACTATAAGAGGAATTGTGGGATCCTTCTGCGCAAGCGCCGGGGCTTCTGGGGATTAAATACATGTTCACCTCTCTCGCTGAAAACTCAGGATGAAGCCAGCCGATTGTCTAACCACTGGCAGAGCTGAACTCATGTAATTGAACCCTAGTGAGGTTCAGGGCTCTTGGGGGTACATAAAAGGAGGTGAGACTGGCGACCACTAGCATCGGCAGCTACCTGCATTGGCTGTGAGCAAACCTCATGCAAGCTCAGAGGGGGGGCCTACAACGCCCGATCGCAATTACGCCACGAGCACACTACAAGTGGCAGCACAAGGGGTGGAAGAGCTGCCACCGGTGGGGATGTCAGCTGGTGGTCATTGCTTCAGGCACGGGCATAAACCCTAAACCCTAAACCCTAAACCCTAAACCCGAAACCCTAAAGAGGACTGTGAGGGGGAGTGTGGTTCAAGGCCACAAGGCGATGACACTTATGCGAGGAAACATGCACGTGGGAGGCAAAGATCCTGAGGTGCAAATCCTCTGAGCACGCCATGTGTTGAGCAACGAATGATAAATGAGCCATGACTTTTTTGGCATGACAGTTCTCGGAAGCTCTGAAACGCCCAGCTCTCTTCAAATCGATGGGGCTCCGCCCTATCACTTCTGCAATGTCCAGGGACATGTATGCTCGCCTCCGAAAACCAAGCGTCGGCTTCAACCAACGCAATCGAAAATCTGGCATCCTAGACTATACCTTAACCCTAGGCATTTCAAGACCCCAAACCCTCAATCCTAAATGCAATATTGCTTTGTTCGATAGGGGGGGGGGGGGGTGGGCGGGCGACAGGTGTTGGGATCAGGGTATGTTTCGTGGGTATGTTTCGGGGTTTGTTTCGGGGCATGTTTCGTGGTATGTTTCGCGGAATCATGAGCTACTTTACCTGCAACTTCGGGGGTATGTTTCGCGGTACGTTTCGGGGGTATGCTTCCGGGTGTGCAACCAGTGTGCCCTTCTTGAAGCTGGCCCCCTAAAAAACGAAGAAACCCATATTTGACAAGGCGTTACTGTAATTCTCAAAGGATCGTTAACCCCCTTTCAAAAAACCAACCTAGGCACATGTCTGACCACTGGAAGAATCAACCTGAACCTCTAAGACTTTAAGACCCAGCCAGGGGTCAAGGGTTTAGGGTTTAGGGGTTTAGGGTTCAGGGGTTTAGGGTTTAGGGTTTAGGGCAAAGTTGAGGGTTTAGACGGGTATTTCCAGTAACAGCCTGGTCTTGGGCTTTAGGATCGATGCCCACACACCACACCTGGTCTACACGTCCCGTCCCCTGCCATTCCTCCAACAGCCCTAAAAGATTACACCAGACCTCAAGGGGACTAAGGCTCGTACCCCTAAGGCTCTTAAAAATTGTCCCTAAACCCGATGGTCCAACCTTAGGGGTCCAAGGTACAATCTCATGAAGACCATGTGCTCTCAACCTCTAAGCACGTGGCGTTCCTAGCCGCCACTGACAAAAGGACTCTCTCAGTACGGGAAGGAGATCAGCTGTCCAAGCCTGGTTTTGTGAAAAGCTAGCAGAGTTCAGGCAGGGTTTAGGGTTTAGGGTTTAGGGTTTAGGGTTTAGGGTTTAGGGTTTAGGGTTTAGGGTTTAGGGTTTAGGGTTTAGGGTTTAGGGTTTAGGGGTTAGGGGTTAGGGGTTAGGGGTTCAGGGTTTAAGGTTTAGGGTTTAGGGTTTAGGGTTTAGGGTCTAGGAGCCGCTTGTAGGGTTTTCTACGCTCAGCTTGTTCAGCTCGGGATAAATCCGAAAGCAGCTGGGCAAAGATCGACCAGGATTCAGGGCTTCTGCTGAATGATCTGAGGGCCGCGCGCGGACTTAGGGTATAGGGTTTAGGGTTTAGGGCTTAGGGTTTGCCCTGCACTCTAAGGCCCTTCATCCGAAACCCTGTGGTAGTCGTTCAACAGTACGGTCCCCAACATAAGCATCGGGTATACACTCTTTCCGTGTAAGGATTCTCCTTTCTTAAGGGAATCTTCTCCATCGTATCCCATGGTCCGTCAGACCGTCAAAAGGGACGGTGTAGAGTAAGCACGAAGCACGATGTACTGAAGTACTGAAGTACTGAAGTACCAAGGCGCATGGGGAAGATGGCAAAAGTAATGCCGACGTCCAGGGAGACGCGGATCCTTAGGCTCGAGGGTTCAGGGGGTTTGGTGCTTAAGTCTTAGGGGTTTGCAATGCATTAAGGGTGCCTAAAGAATGCAGTAGGGGCTCAGCAAACCCTAAACCCTAAACCCCCCCCCTCCCCTCGGAAGTTCTAGGCCAACATCCCAGGCCCGAAATCGTTCCCCCAAAATGTCGCTCAACCAAGACCTGCAAGTCACAAGGCACCTGCAAGAACAACGGCGGGT